GAGCCAGGTGCTTTTCCTGGTCTCCCATGGGGTGCAGGGCCCAAGCACCTGGGCCATCCTCCACTGCACTCCCTGGCCACAGCAGAGGGCTGGCCTGGAAGAGGGGCAACCGGGACAGAATCCGGCGCCCCGACCGGGACTAGAACCCGGTGTGCCGGCGCCGCAAGGCGGAGGATTAGCCTAGTGAGCCGCGGCGCCGGCCTTCTACTGCATATTTTAAACACAGAGTAAGCACCCCAAGAGGTCAGGGAATAGCACAGATTGCCCCATTGAATGCATCTGTCAGTTCTGAAATGAAATCAAAATAAAGAATTCTTGGGGACCTCAAGTAAGGCAGCCATGCCAGAGTAACAGGATAAGGAAGAATGTTTTTCATTTGTCTGTTGACTTTATTCCAGAAGTCAATGTACTCACAGGTGTTCAAAGCTAAATCAACTCAACTTCTGACCACGCTGGAAGATTCAGAAGTCCCATAGGTTAGTGATTTCCTGTATGAACTTCCTAGAGAGCCATTTCTTTCCAGGATCCTCTCCTCTTGCCTCTCTTTTTTCTTAGCCGTGACGTAAATAAGAGACCTGGCATTCCCCAGTGTACTGTTTCCTTTGTCCCCTATTGTTCAAGCCCAGAAATCGCATCTGGGTCCTCCTTGGTACAGGTGACAAACAGCATTTGCTTTGCATTTTGATGCAGTCAAGTTCTCAAGTTCCAGCCTGTCAAGCAAGGCTGGAGAGGACTGAGAAACGCCAGCCCCCACCCCAACTTTAATCCTCTGCATCTTTTATTTGTGTAGAAGCTCAAGGCATTAGTCCTCTCAAAATTGCAAAGGCTCATTTTGTTCGCAACTCTTGAATATCCTATTACAAGGCAGAGTGTGATTTTTATTGTCATCTGGAGTATGCTTAAATGAAGAGTGTGGATGCCTCAAGAGGGGCCACAAATTCCCTTAACACTTAAAGGGCTCTGGTAACAAAGACACTTAACGGCTGGGTAAGAATGTCAAGTGGCTGTGGCTCCAACGCTGGAGGCCTGCGATTAGTCTAACTACAATACCTGCTCACATGGAATAATTTTCCAAGAAGCAAGGGAGGTTGCTCACCCCACCGGCAGTTTTTAAGCCTCTTTCACTCAAAGGCCTCTCTTAGGAAATCTGCCATAGCCTAGCAGGTTGGGATGTTCTTTCTACCACATAGCACAAGGCATCAAATCCATTTACAGATAACACTTTGTACTTTCTTGCCTTTCTCATTGCCCTCTAAGAACTATCCAATCAGGGTCATTTTGCCCAAAGAAAGTTCTTATTTTTTTTTAAGTCTATAGGAAAAGAAAAAAAAACCTGAGATCATTTATAAAAACTTGATCTTAATGATAGTTTGCTTCCATTAATGCATCTGCTTTGAGGACTTAATCTTTGTGGCCAGGCATGTTGGAGACAACAGCTGGCATTTCTCTTTATGGGAGGAAAAGCATTCCAAGCACAGTGTGGTGTTAGTCATCTCATTTATTACTTTCCTTTTATTATTCACACTGATGTATTTAAGATAGACTTAGGATGAATCAATTAATAAACTCAGTTGAAAAATGAGACTTGACTATGTTGCCACACATGTGAGTCACAGGGTGCTGATGCACTTGTGTTTGAAACAGGATCTGCCCAGTAGCTCTGGAGAAGAGGAGACGGAAAATGAGCACGTAGAACAATTCAATTGAGTCCAGTGGAAGGAAGTCAATGACAAAGCCAGCCAAAGCACAAAATCATTTATCATTCATCTCATCCATCCATCCATCTATATGTGGGTTGCCTATATTCCTTTAAATTTTTGTTTTTCTTACCTCATCACATTCAGCTTAGGAAATATTAAAATCACTCTCGCATTCCCTAAGCACCCATATATCCATGGAAATTAGAGATGGCCTATCACTCTCTCATTTGTTTGGAGGAGTTGAAATTTTAGTTTTTTTTCCTGAATAATCTCTGTAGACTAATAATCAAGTATTGACTCAACTCTTTTTTTTTGTTTTTTTTGACAGGCAGAGTTAGACAGTGAGAGAGGGAGACAGAGAGAAAGGCCTTCCTTTTTCCGTTAGTTCACCCCCCAAATGGCTGCCACAGCTGGCACAATGCGCCGATCCGAAACCAGGAGCCAGGTGCTTCTCCTGGTCTCCCCTGCAGGTGCAGGGCCCAGCACTTGGGCCATCCTCCACTGCCTTCCTGAGCCACAGCAGAGAGCTGGACTGGAAGAGGAGCAACCGGGACAAAATCCAGCACCCCAACCGGGTCTAGAACCAGGGGTGCCGGTGCCGCAGGCGGAGGATTAGTCAAGTGAGCCGCGGTGCCGGCTGGCTCAACTCTTAAATTTGTTGTGCAGCGCTTAAATGGGCAGAGGTGAAGAATTTCTTACATATGATGACAGCCTAATGTTTTGTTCTATCACCAGTTATTATAGCAGCTTCTATTTATGAAGTGTCGTTTTCTGATGAGTTTCAAAGACTCTGTAATTCACTCATTTTATGTGTAGGTACTCAGGGGAATAGATATGTCGTGCTGTGACTGAGGGACAGAGCACAACTCTCTTAACTTCCAGGTTATTGCTTTATCTTATCATGCTGCCTGTCAGCCTACAGATGACACTCAAATCTGTCTCTTCTCAATCCTAAATTCACACTTCTCTTTTTTCCACTCTGATTGAACCTCAGGGGACAGAAGCAGCCGGAATATTCAGCACTCAGTCACCAACTGTCTCAATTCTTCATCCTTTGAAGTTGTGTTTCTGCATCTAGGGGCTGCACCGAGGTGGCCCTAAGGCCATGTGCTTTCCCTGCTAATAACTGGTTGGTGCTACACAACCAAAGGTGTCAACAGCAATTACTGGGCCTGGCTTTTAGTTGCTGCTGCAGATCCCAGCAGGACACACAGGCTGAATCATCTCACTTTGGTCTGAGAAGCTGTAAAAACAAAATCCCCAATTCCACAAAGCCCACCCTTTCTTTATTGTGAACGCGTCTACCAAGCCCCAAAGCCATGTCTACCAAGGATTGCAAACCTATTGAAGTTCCTTCTGGGGTAAAGGCAGTGGCTTCTATAAAGATGATCTCTGGCTCTAAAACCTAGACTGAATGCCTGCATTAGTGCTTTGGATCTTCAGGAATGATTGGAGCAGTGTAAAACTTGCAAATTTAAAGACATTTAAAGAGAGCACAGGGAGAATGACTAAATGATTTGGAAATTAATCACTTCGGACCTATAATCCCCTAAAACTAAAGACAATAGAGTTACCTAGTAGACAGGTTAAAAAAAAAAAAAAAACTAAGAAGAAATAAAGTGATCCCCTGCTGGTGGTAATTGTGTGGTTAGTTATTCTGTAAAGGATGGTGACCAGATGGATTCTTTCCTCTCTAAACTAGAGGCTGGGAGAGGAAGGAACTAGGTTTAAAACTAAAGCATGCAGGATTTGAGTGAGATAAAAGGAAGAATTTCCTGACCATGAGATTCTTAAACCTGGGAATGAGTTATCAAGAGAGGTTTGAGAATCTCCTTATCTAGAGACTTTTCAAAACAGTAGATGCCCATCTGTCTGGGGTGGGTTAGAACAGACAGCCCTAAAAGCCTCTCAATGGATTAGGCTATCTTTCACATTTCTTTCTAGCCCTATGATAAACAAGGGGAGTTGGGAGTATTAGGAAGTGGCTGATCAGTAAACACTGAAGGCAGAACCACCTTGGCCCTCCAGATAACCAACCTCCTTAGTCAACCCGTGTAAATAAGCTTGTCCTGAGTCCTGCGGAGACGACTCTGAAATAACCTAGCATTTCGACCAGCTTGTTGTCCTGCTGTTTATTTTTATGGGGGAAGTTTTGATATATAAACTGCTGGAGTTTATTGAGTTAAATGTTCCTTTTTTATTCTCTTTTTTGCCTTTTCCTTTTTATTCTCTTAATTGTTTTAATGCTAAAACTTTCAGTTTATTTTAGTTTTATGAAATTATTCATAAATAAATATGCATGTTCACTGGTATTTCATTATATCAGCAAAAAAAATGGAATCAACCTTAATATTCATCCATAGATTTCTCATAGTACTTGTGTGATATGTCCATATGTTGAGATATTGTGGAGTTATTAAAATTCAAAACTTTGAAAAAAATGTAATTACCCAGAGAAATGCTTTAAATTGGAAAAAATAGCATATGAAACTATAGCCATGGTATGATTTCAAATGTCTTTATACAAGAAAATAAGAATATGACTATGGAATATACCAATATTTGAAGGCTATCAATGGTAGGATATTAATGAGTTTGCATTATCTCTTGAAACTTTCTTGAATCTGAATTTTTTGTCTTATATAGTAATATCATTAGCAGAATAAAAGTTGTAAAATAAATTCAAATCTAAAAAATAAACAGTCACCTTCCAACAGTTACAAAACTAGAATCATTATTTGGTCTTACCTTTAATTATGTCTCTAATATTTCTGAAGTATTTGTACAACCTGAGGCTGTGAAGCATCCCTTTGCTCTCAGTGCAGTACTGCATCTACTTTGTAATGCAAATGATATACCTGCTCTCAATTCAGGGGAGCTTGGGGGGAGGAAAAATCCATAACCTTGAAGAGCTCTCATAACTCTCTCTATCACTTGTCTTCCTCCTGACTCAGGGAATGAATCAGAAGTTAATGTGCTTCATAGCCCATACTTCAGTTCTTTCCCCTGGCAAAACACTCTAAAATGTAAGATCCTAGGTTGTTAAGTTTGATGGGACTCTGTTGCATATTTCAAGTGTAGATATAGCTTTACCTACTCAACACTTACCCTCTCATCTGTGGCTGCAAGAGAAATTAGGTGGTTTAGAGGATTCTATGAAATACATTAGTAATAATGTGCATAGCCTATGCTGAAATTTATCATGAGTTTGCATTTGATTCAAAATCTAGCTCTGCCCTTGCCCATACCTGTGTCTTCACAGCTGTGACTGCCAAGATTCAGATGCTTTTTAGCTCTCACCTGGACGAGTGTCATGGACTCCTGACTGTCTTTGCGTCACTAGTGTCTTTCCCCTGAGATCTGTCTTCCAATGATCTTCCTCACATTCCAACAGTTATGTCCCCACACTCGGGATGACACGTAGATTCTTTGGACATGCTATGTGCCTCTTCATGCTCAGGTTCCCATTTTCTTGTCTCATCACATTTTCAATTTGTCCTCCAGTGTAAATTCTTTTCCTTCAGTCCTTTAAAAATGGGGTTGAAGAAAAATGTTTTCTTATTTTTCAGGACCCAGATCAAGTCTTCCCTGTGAAGGCTTCTTCAGCTTACTCAGTAAAACCTCAGTACTTCCATATCACCCATCACAGTCAGTCACAGTAATTTGTATAAATTTCTCCACATTGGACTATGAACTGCTTAAGGGCTTAACTTTTACATCCTCACATATTATCTGAATATTTTTTGTTGCTGAATTAATACATTAACTAATAAAATAGAAATTCTATGTCTTTAAAATGCAAGAGTACTTTCAAAGTGTTCTTGAAAATCTAATTTATTTTATTTTTTTAAATGTATTTATTTATTTGGAAGGCAGAGTTATGGATTGGGGGAGGAACAGAGGGAGAGGGAGAGGGAGAGAGAGAGCGAGAGCGAGAGCGAGAGAGAGAGAGCGCGCTCTTCTATCCGCTGGTTTACTCCTCAAATGGCCACAGTGACCGTAGTCAGGCCAATACAAAGCTAGGAGCCAGGAGCTTCTTCCAGGTCTCCCACGTGGATGCAGGGGCACACTTGGGCCATTTTTTGCTGGTTTTCAAGGCACAATAGCAGGGAGCTGGATTGGAAGTACAGCAACCAGGACTCCAATGGGTGCCAAAGAGATGCCAGCACAGCACGTGGCGGCTTAATCCACTATGTCAAAGTGCCAATCCTGAAAATCTATTTAAAAAATTTATTTGAATGCAAAGCATTTTGAAATAATAAAACTAAAAATATGTTTATTTTGATGTGAAAACCTTTTAAAACCATATATAGGCTTCTGCATGATAAACATTTTCATTAACTTTCTGAAGACTCCACATATGCATGGATTTCAAAAATAATTTGCCCCCCAAAAAAATTTCACAACTTTTTGAATCACCCTCCTGTTGTGTTCTTGAAATACACCAAGATGGTGGTTTTTAAGTGCTCTTTATCACAAAAATGTTAACTATGTGAGCTAATGAATTTCTTAATTAGCTAGATTTAGCCATTTCAATATATATATATATGCTTCAAAAGGTCATGTATAAGATAAATGCATAAAATTTTAACTGTCAGTTTAAAAACAAATAAACAAGCCATAACTGAGCTCTAGTCATTAGCTACCAGCAAGCCATACCAGAGACGTAACTTCTCTTGACTCATGGTTCCTCCTGGAGACTTTGTCCCCTGAGCCTTCCCTGCTGGACTGCTCCCAAGAACATCTTTTTCCCAATACCCCAAGGATGTGCCTTCAGAATGACATGGGGACCCTTACAAACAAGGGAGGGGTCCATAGGGAGAAAAAGACGGAAGACACTTACCCATTTTTCACCTTGCTCACTAGTTGTCTTAATGACATTGTGAAATAGAGTGCCACATTGTTTTCTAGAAGAACAGCTCCAAGATTAGTTGACTATTTTTTAAAAATTGGAGGTCACCATAAGGAAACCAGATTTTAATTTCATCAAGTGAAAGTGTGAACCAACAAAACTCTTCATGGGCTGCAACCACTATTTCATAAAGAGAAGCACTTTCAAGTGTTGAAAGAACAGGAAGGATGTTGTTGAAGAATAAGGTAGACCTATTTTATTTTATTTTATTTTATTTTATTTTATTTTATTTTATTTTTTGACAGGCAGAGTGGACAGTGAGAGAGAGAGAGAGACAGAGAGAAAGGTCTTCCTTTGCCGTTGGTTCACCCTCCAATGGCTGCTGTGGCCTGCGCGCTGCAGCCAGCGCACAGCGCTGATCCCATAGCAGGAGCCAGGTGCTTCTCCTGGTCTCCCATGGGGTGCAGGGCCCAAGCACTTGGGCCATCCTCCACTGCACTCCCTGGCCACAGCAGAGAGCTGGCCTGGAAGAGGGGCAGCGGGACAGAATCCAGCGCCCCGACCGGGACTAGAACCCGGTGTGCCGGTGCCGCAAGGCGGAGGAGAATAAGGTAGACCATTTTAACTTGAACAAATACGAGATGTTCACAAAGTGAAGTAGAAAGTAGTTTTCCCATGGTGTGGCTCTGTGGTGTTCATGTATCCTGGACCAGCATGGGAAAACTTCCAAGGTATACCACTTGAGGAAAGCAGGGATACTCTGCAAACAACAGGCCAGTGCATGGACAGGGGCTGTGGGAAGCAGTTTCTCCCTGCTGCAGGCAACTGACCTTGTAGAGCCACCAAGAGCTGGGAGGGAGACATAGTCCATCCTATCTGTCTTCTTACACATCTGCTACAAATTGCTCCTGGACTGAGTAGAGCAAAACTTCTATCTTTAAAGCTGAGTTCAAGCTGTTCCTTGAGAATTTCTAAAAGTATGGACAGATGACAGTAGCACTTTAAGGAAGAGAACACTCGAAGTGCATTCTGTCACCTTGGTAACTTACTGAAATCTGTTGATGGTAGGATGAGTAGCAAGGTGATGTTTGTGTTGGCTTGGCAGCTGTCAACTTAAACATAATTACACTTGTGTGTGATTTGTCATTTGCTGCTTTTGGCTTGTGGGTGGTCTGCAGCCCATGTCATTTCAACAACCAGTGCCCCTAGAAGGGCAGCTGGGGACACCTTGCTATTGCTGAAGTCCCAGAGACCAACTTTGTGATATTGCCTGGCTTCTGTTGATACCGAATCCCACCACCAACAAGTGCTTGAGATGTTTAGTCTTAGATCAGAGTTCTGGTGATTTTATTCTCTTAATTGAAAATCATTCCCAGAAAAGTAGGAATCAATTCCATCACTCAATATATTAGTAAGTTTTGTTTAAGAGAGAAAGGAACATTCAGTTTTAATATCTCCAACTGTAAGCTTTTTTTTTTTTTTAAAGATTGTATTTATTGGGGGCCAGCGCCATGGCTCACTTGGTTAATCCTCCGCCTGCGGCACCGGCATCCCATATGGGCACCAGGTTCTAGTCCTGGTTGCTCCTCTTCCACTCCAGCTCTCTGCTGTGGCCCGGGAGTGCAGTGGAGGGTGGCCCAAGTGCTTGGGCCCCTGCACCCTCATGGGAGACCAGGAGGAAGCACCTGGCTCCTGGCTTTGGATAGGCGTAGCTCCGGCCGTACCGGCCATTTCAGGGGGTGAACCAACAGAAGGATGGCCTTTCTCTCTGTCTCCCTCTCTCACTGTCTAACTCTATCTGTCAAATAAATAAAAGAAAAAAAGATTGTATTTATTTACTTGAGAAGCAGAGTTACAGACAGAGAGGGGGAGAGACAGAAAGGTCTTCCATCCACTGTTTCACTCTCCAAATGGCCACACCAGCCAGAGTTGGGCCAATCCAAAGCCAGGAGCCAGGAGCTTCTTCCATATGGGTGCAGGGGCCCAAGTATCAGGCCATCTTCTACTGCTTTCCCAGGCCATAGCAGAGAGCTAGATCAGAAAAGGAGCAGGTGCAACTAGAACCAGGGCCCATATGGGATGCCGGCAAAACAGGCAGAGGCTTAGCCCATTGCACCATAGCGCCAGCCCCAAAAGTTGTTTTAAAAATATCAGTGAACCACACACCATCCTAGGCTCTAGCCCCCGCCACCATTGCTGGAAGCCAGGTGACCACATGGCCCCACCACCAGTGTCAGCTCCACCCCCATCCTAATAGGATTCATTGCTCCTACTTCCCTATCTGCCCCCTGGCAAAGTTTTTTAAAGGACAGCTCTCTAGGCTAATCCTCCGCCTGCGGCACCGGTACCCCAGGTTCTAGTCCCAGTTGGGGGGCCACTTCTGTCCTGGTTGCTCCTCTTCCAGTCCAGCTCTCTGCTGTGGCCCGGGAGTGCAGTGGAGGATGGCCCAAGTGCTTGGGCCCTGCACCCACATGGGAAACCAGGAGGAAGCACCTGGCTCCTGGCTTCAGATCGTAGCGGCCATTTGTGGGGATGAATCAATGGAAGGAAGACCTTTCTCTCTGTCTCTCTCACTGTCTAATGCTGCCTGTCAAAAAAAAAAAAAAAAAAAAAGGACCTGTTCCTAAACACGTGGCTGTCTTTCTCTAGGTCACCTGATCTCTGTCTCTGTCTGTCTGTGTCTCTGTCTCTCTCTCTTACACTCTCCTTTTCCCTCTTTTCCTTCCTCGCCCCTTCCCTCTGGTCTGTCGGGTTTCCCCCAATAAACACTTTCCCTTAAAAAAAAAAATCAGTGAAGTTACAAATAGTTAAGCCTTCAAGCTGGTATTGAAATTTTTAACAAATCTATATAATAAAGTATAATAAAGTATAAATGACCACATTTCTTCTATGTGGAGCCTGTTTTCTCAGATGATTGAATTTACTTAATATGGTGGGTAAACAGACTCCTCAAGTTTTGAGCTATGCTCTGTAGAATCCAAAAGCAGACTGTGTTTGTGGTGTTGTCTTCCATGTTTATGTTTATTGATTGGTAACTGCTGGCATAAATTCCTCATATTCTCCAGAAAGAATCACAATCGCTATCAGAGAAGCAAGAAAAGAACTAGCCAGGATGCTCTCTCCAATGCTCTAATCATAGATGTAGGCAGTAGACACTTTTACCTGGGAAACAGAAGCATGACTTCTAAAACTGTGGAATATTTTATAGAGAAGATATGCCCATTAGAAATTTTTAACTGAAGGCTGAAATAAAAGTTTAGAAGCAGAAGACAAAGAAGACAGTATCTGGGTTTTGTTTTTTTCCTTTTAAATGAATGTAAACACACTTCAGGAAATATGGGAAAATAAAAAAAGAGAAGGCGCCATCATCTCCATAATCTCACTACTATAACACAACCACATTAATTTTAAATTTCCTCTGGCCTTTTATTCTATATATTTTGTGTAGTTTTGCATGTTTTCAGTTTTTATGTAACGTAATAGTCCATAGTGACATTATTATGGTCATTCATGGCCATCATTTTTAATGGCTGCATAATACTCCAACCAGAGGCAAAAGAATCTAATTAGCATTCTATAGTGTAGCAGAATTTGATGTAGGGAAATAAAGAAGATAATTAAGAATGTAACAAAAAAAAAGAACCAAACTAAGAAAATTAAAAGTTTTAATTCTAAAACAATTCCTTCTAATTTTTCAAAGCCTGAACAGATCACTTTACATAAACACAAAGGATAATGAAAATGATCATATATGATAAATAGGTTAGTTTTATAATCAAGTGATTTAAATTAATATGATACATTTAATTATATGCAAATTTTAATGGCCCTTTATGGTAATTAGGCATAAATAGTAAATGTTGACATGGGTAACCCCATAAATGTAATGAGAGATTTGCACAGCCAAACAGAATTATAATTTCTTCTTCTCTTAGTTTTCTATTATTTATAATCATTGTCACTCAGGTATTACCCTGACTGGTCTTACCCAATGGTACTGGAACATATCTCCTCCCAAATGAAACTTTTTATACTTAAGAATTGAAATCATTTAACACAGTGGGAAAAGTACTCTGAAATGAAATAAAAAGAAAGCAGAAATAATTTGAATACACATGTAGTTCCTGATTGTAAGTAATCTTAGAAATGAGGCCTTCATTTACTCATTAATTTTCAAATTTATTAAGAGCTATGGGAAATAAATCTAAAGAAATGAGTTATGGGAACATTAAAAAGAGCTTTTTATATAAGGGTAAAGAATTTGAACTTAATTTCAGAGATAGCAGGAAGCCACCAGAGGTCTTCCAGCGAAGGTTAAGTATGCATACACATATATGCATCTTTTAGAAAGATCATGTTGAAAAATGGACTGGAGCAAGAGAGACTTGTGAGAAAACAAGGAGTCAGTAGAAGACTGTTGCAAAACCCCAGAGGAGAGAATCCAGGAGCCTGATGGAAGGCGCTGGTAGCAGGAGGGAAAGAGAGAGGAGGTGGAACCAATAAAGAATGCATGCAACAGGAAGAGAGAGAGGACCTGAAGTTTGAAAGTAGGAGATTGTCTGCACACAGCAGTCAGCTACAGGGAAGAGGCAGAGGTTTAGAGAAAAAGATGCATTCTGGCTGACTTACATTTGAGCAGCCCCTGCACACACTGGTGGAGAGGTCTTATGTTTAGGTAGTGGATTGAAAGAAAGGGCGAAAGAAGCCCTTATAAACACTAAGAAAAAAAGGTACTCTAGCATAGCTTGCCATTTAAGCAATGGGAGTTTCAGGGGATATGGAAAGCTAGATGGCGAGTGCCCAACTGCACCAAGTTTACAGATATTAAAATCCAAAAATACACCATAGAAGTCACTGGTGATGTTAGCCACAGGAATTTAAGAAAATTCATTGAAATAGAACTCAGACATTCATAGTAACTCCATATGAGTGTTTTCTGTGGTCTTGGCACTGTTCTGAGCACTTTACCATGTATTATCTCATTTAGCTTCATGTAAATGAAGTTAGATCTTTTCTCACCTGCACTTCCCAGGTGAGAAAACATCTTGGAGGACAAACACAAGGGCCACCAGATAATTAGGGGCAGCTGCAGATCGAAGCAAGCCAAGTCTACAACCCATGCATGGCCTTAACCACCCCACTTAATAGGTTGAAGCGTGTATAGAAGCAGAGGAAGTAGAGAAAGCAAGTGTTGACATCCCTTCTAATATTGAGTTGGACAACAGGCTGGGCGAGCAATTGGTCAATGACCACTCTTCGGAGGGCTGTGGGATACTTGGGCAGTGTTGATATCTGGGAACTGGTGCAATCCAAGCAAACCGGTAGTAGACTTGTAACTAATGGCTTGAGGTGCTGGGAAAGGTTGGACAGAACTGGAGGGTTCACGTGGATCATTTGCTGATGGCTGTAGAAGATGATGGCAGGGCTTGAAGCAAAATCATTGCAAATGTATTCCAGTACTATATGCAGCCAAGAGCAGGAGCTCCAGGACATGCAGTTTGATAGCAGCATAAAATCTGGATTCACTGCCGTGGAAATATGGATGGAAGCTGTGGAGGAATCAGTAATGCATGACTGAGCTTTCTGAGGCGGCGGCGAATGAGTCAGCTGGAATCTAGGCTGCCACAGCGTTGTGGGTGTGGTGGAAGGATGGCTGAATAGCTGTGAGTTCATGGGAGAACTGCAGGCAAGCAGACAGCTGCTGTGGGTGGGAGACAGGATTTGCTGCCTTGTTTGTTTGTTGTTAATGAGACTGGACAAATGAGCTTTAAAAAGTAAAACAGGGCTGGGGCTGGCGCTGTGGCGCAGTGGGTTAACACCCTGGCCTGAAGTGCCAGCATCCTATATGGACGCCGGTTCTAGTCCTGGCTGCCCCTCTTCCAATCCAGCTCTCTGCTGTGGCCTGAGAAAGCAGTAGAGGATGGTCCAAGTCGTTGGGCCCCTGCACCCGCATGGGAGACTGGGAAG